TAAATGTTAATACAAATTGAAACATATTACGGTTTGAGATAAAACGACAGTTTGATCAAATGATGGCTGGGCGGATTGCAAACCACGCCCCGTAAAACTCCCAAAAAGTTTTGTGAAGCCGCCATTTTATTATCCTCGCATTAGCATTATTAGCAGTATTAGCATTAGCCCAGCGCGGAAACGCAGAGAGACTAACTTATGGCAACACAAAATAAAACATGGGAGCGGTGGAGATGAGGAGGTGTCGGCGTTTTGGCGATTTACTCGGAAGGCTTCAGTAGGAGCTGCTGGGACTCCCAGCAGCTTCTACTGAAGCCAGTCCCCAACTCCGGGGACTTCCGGCCGTGGATTACGGGTGGCAGTATACGCCATGAAGTTGTTTGCGGTCTGCCAGTAAACCCAAAGCAGAAGAAGAAGTGACGTCAGCGGCTTCATTTGCCTTATCCACCCCCAGGGACTTATTCCGGTGTGAACGCGATCTGTACTTAGTTCATCAGAACTAACGAGTTCTGATGAACTAAGTTCTCATGAACCTTTGTGGGAAAAGTACTGCGGTGTGAAAGTGCCTAATGCAACTGGTTGAGGGGTACACACACTTCAACCTGTTTCAGAGGGTCAGGTGTGAACATGTTAACTCATCTTGGAGGACAAATGCAAACCAGCTTAAGTGGATTTGAAGTTTCTTGGTGCAACACAGAATACATGACTCTTTGTGTTTGAAAAAGTGGAACAACAAATGCAACATATGTAGATGTACATGTAAGGGATAGTGTGCAGCGAGGCGGTCATTATTGGTAAAAGAACATCCGACAGGCTGATCAGGGATCGTTGCAATGCATTTAACAATCCTTCATCATCTTTCTGATCCAGGGAAGGTATTTTGATACATCTGTGTACACATTGGGCCTATTTGGGTATCCACAGTCCTTTTTCCAGTTGTAAGACACAACACCAGCTGCCTTCCCGTTGCACACCAGAGGACCCCCAGAATCACCCTGTGAGGAGGAAGAAGCTATATTAGTTCATTTGCTTTCTAATAACCTTTTTATAATGAGACCATACCCCTATGACAGGAAAGGAAGCATACCTGACAGAATCCTTTATCTGTGCCATATCCACCAGCACAGATAACGTTTTCAGGAAGCATGTTAGGCCATTCGTTCTTACAGACATCCAGGTCAACAATGGGCACATTCACCATTTGCAGCTCATCAACAGGTTTACCAACACTTGTGAAGCCCCATCCAGCTACACTGCACGGCTTTTTATTTTTAATCTTAGTCTTAGTCTTGAAAATTGGC